GGGGGGGGGGGGGGGGGCCCAGGGAGACCCTGCCCCCCCCACTTCTTCCTGGCACTTCATCTTCTTCGTGGGTCCCAACACCTTCAAACCCAACACGACCCATCCAACCTCATGGATCGAAAATCACAAGGCCTTTTTGTTATTTATTTATTTTATTTTTGGCCGTGTTGGGTGTTTGTTGCTGCGCGCGGGCTTTCTCTAGTTGCAGCGAGCGGGGGCCTCTCAATGCGGTGGCTTCTCTTATTGCGGAGCACGGGCTCTAGGTGCGTGGGCTTCAGTAGTTGTGGCTCGTGCGCTCTAGAGCGCAGGCTCAGTAGTTGTGGCACACGGGCTCAGTAGTCGCGGCTCACAGGCTCAGTAGTTGCAGCTCACGGGCTCTAAGGCACGCAGGCTCAGAAGTTGTGGCGCACGGGCTTAGTTCCTCTGCGGCATGTGGGACCTTCCCAGAGCAGGGTTCGAACCCGTGTCCCCTGCATTGGCAGGAGGATTCTTCACCACTGCGCCACCAGGGAAGCCCCACAAGGCCTTTTAATGTAATGAAAAGAGTCGCTTAGTAAGAAAACTAACCCTGCCAGACTGCCCAAGCTACACCTGAACCTGACATTGTGATTTGGCTCTAGTTTCCTGCCCTGGAAGTGGGGAGGATGTGCCCACGGCCATTTCCCCAAAGGGTCTCAAGGTTACGATATTAAAAGGTGAGAGCACCTTTCTCAATTTCCTAGCGCCCTCTCTTTGCCTGTCGTTGCCACTCGAGGTGTGGTCCGGGGACCAGCAGCCTGGCCACCCCCTGGGAGCTCTTCAGAAATGCAGACTCTCAGCCTCACCCTGGACCCACTGACTCAGAGCTGCATCTGAACAAGATCGCGGGTGACTCATGTGCACATTGGAGCGTGAGAAGCACTGAGCTAGGACACAGCTTGGAGGGTGGAAGGCCCAGGAGGCCTCATGGGATAAGGATTCCTTTCCCACCCCTTCTCCCAGCCCCTGAGATGCAGGCTTGCCCTCGGCACGGTCAGCTCTGCACTGCACTGCGGAGACCGCCACCCCCCCCCCCCCCCCCCCCCCCC